TATTAAAAAAATATAGCCAAATCTTTGGGAATAACAATTATTTGAATGAAAATTGACATTGTTCTAAAATTTGTGAAATTCATACTTTTTATATCCACATAAGTCTAGAGTCAGTCTAAATTCATATTGTGATACCAGAACATTCAAATATCATGATTTATTCAAATGCATTATTGAGTTATTTTGTGACTAACACTGAGAAGTCTAAAAGGGGTGAACAAAGAATAACTTGATTAGTACTAGTCTGGTAATTTACAAAACTTGATTTTAGGCCACCTGCTGGTTGTTATGGATATTAAAACAGCAGGCAGTTCAGTTTTTTTTGATGGACTACTTTATCAGAATGGCCAGTCTGATCCAGAATTCCCGGGCCAAAAAATTGTCCCACTCCGGCCCTGCTCATCTGGGTCATAGAACAATATGTCCAGGTCAAAGCAGATCATTACAAGTATCAGAGTTGTATCAGAGAAAGGAAGAGTAAAGAGAAGCCTTGAGCGACACAGATCCATACTAACTTAATTTTGTAATATCTAGAGTAGATATGTCTTTGTTTACTCTGGTCTTTTTAATGTCTGTCATTTCCTCATTCGTGGCATACGGTTTCAGACGGCTGCAGGTGGTGTTGGTATCGGTTCTGTTATTCATTGTATGTGTCACATTTACTAATGAATAAACTCACACTTTGATTGTTCTACAGCTCTTGGTTCTTTACATTATTTTAGCTCTTGGTCACTGCAGAATTTCCACAACAGTGCGTCTCCTCCTTCACCAAAGTCCTTCATCTGCTCTTTTTCACCCACAGATTTACACAAGTCTGAAGACAGTGCTTTCTTTTGTTGTACTTTTTTGTTAAAAAATAATAATCTAAAACAACAGCTCTATAAATGAAGTCTCACCAGAAGCATCTAAATGTGTCAGTTTTGTTCTAAAGTCTGTAATGTTTTCTGTCTCCAGACTGAGCCGCTGTGAGCTGTCAGACAGAAGCTGTGGAGCTCTGGCCTCAGTCCTCAGCTCCCAGTCCTCTAGTCTGAGAGTCCTGGATCTGAGTCACAACGACTTGAAGGACTCAGGGCTGAAGCTGTTGTCTGATGGACTGAAGAGTCCTCACTGTAAACTGGAGACGCTCAGGTCAGAGGGTTCATATGATTCACTGTTCTTACAGAACCTGTTGGTCATTGTTTTGGACAATACCAGTGGACAAAGACAGTTAAAGATAAAGGACTTGTTCTGTGTCTCATTTGGGTTGAATGTTAGTCATGAACTGAGTGATTACAATAATGTGTGTGTTCAGTCTGTCAGGTTGTTTGGTGTCAGAAGAAGGCTGTGCTTCTCTGGCCTCAGCTCTGAGGTCCAACCCCTCCCATCTGAGAGAACTGGACCTGAGCTACAACCATCCAGGAGACACAGGAGTAAAGCTGCTGTCTGCTCTGCTGGAGGACCCCCACTGCACCCTGCACACTCTCAGGTATGGTCTGTAAGGACAGAAGAGACATCTGACATCACACATCAAAGAACACATGGCCTTAGTGTGACAGATATATATATATTTTTTTATATATACATTCTATTGAGGTTTTAAATATAATACAACAGAGCTTCAGTTAACAATTTAACAGAGTAGTTCAGTATTACAAGATGATTTTAGAATAAAACAAATAAAATAAAAACATAAAAAACAACAAAAACAACAACTTGGCCTAATGAGAACTTAAAGCTTCTCTTCAAAATAGAGAATAATCATATCCAAACAGTGTAAAGACCTGCAAGTTTGTCTTTTTTCTTCTTTTAATAATGTGTCAGGTCAGCAGTAAAGTCCAAATCCTTCATGAACTCAATAAAGGGTCCCCAAATGTGTTCAAACATATGTTGTTTTGACTTCTGGATATACGTCATTCTTTCTACAAGGTCGGCCAAGTGACATCTGCATGAGTTATGCGATTGATCAGTGCCCGTGGACCTGTCCTAACTTGGGACAAGGGTACAATTGAAATCACCAGCAAGTACAGTCTCTGCTCTGGTCTCTCTCTGGTCTCTCTCTGGTCTCTCTGGTCTCTCTCTGGTCTCTCTCTGGTCTCTCCTCTGGTCTCTCTCTGGTCTCTCTCTGGTCTGTCTCTGGTCTCTCTCTGGTCTCTCTCTGGTCTCTCTCTGGTCTCTCTCTGGTCTCCCTCAGGTCTCTCTCTCTGGTCTCTCTCTGGTCTCCCTCAGGTCTCTCTCTCTGGTCTCTCTGGTCTCTCTCTCTGGTCTCTCTCTGGTCTCTCTCTGGTCTCCCTCAGGTCTCTCTCTCTCTCTCTGGTCTCTCTCTGGTCTCTCTCTGGTCTCCCTCAGGTCTCTCTCTCTGGTCTCTCTCTGGTCTCTCTCTGGTCTCTCTCTGGTCTCTCTCTGGTCTCCCTCAGGTCTCTCTGGTCTCCCTCATGGTCTCCTTCTGGTCCCTGCAGGAGGAGTTGAGGACAGGAGAGCGTGCGGTTGTGGTCTTCCGGTTCCTGAAACATTCTGAGTATCT